ACTAAACACTGTATGCAAAATGAAATCACTGCTCTTGAACAGGAAGTACAGTTGCACTCCACTCTGATCAACCAACTTAATGAAAAAAGAACTCTACTTGAAAACTTGTTAAAAAATGAGGTCAGTGGAGCAGCAATACGCTCCCGGCACAAGGTGTTGAATGAGAATAATGCACCAAAATCTTTCTTTTTTAACATCATAATGTCACAACTAGAAAAACAAGATGGTACCATCACTAATACACCCTGTCAAATGAGACAGCTTACAAGATAATTATATTCAGACTTATTCTCGCCCAATCCTGTGTCACTTGCCTGCCAACAAAAACTGCATGCAAACCTCCCCCAACTTGATGAAAACCCAACCATGAAAAGCGACTGTGATGCCGAATTAACCTATGAAGAACTAACATCAGCAGTCAAATGCATTGCCACTGGCAAATCTCCAGGAATAGACGGCCTTCCAGTCGAATTTTACAAACACTTTTTGGCCAACTTTTGGCAACGACTTATTCCAGGTTTTCCAAGCATCAATATCATCTGGTGAACTGCCACTCTCTAGCAGACGAGCTATTATAACTCTTCTTCCTAAAAAAGGAAATACTAACCTGTTGAAAAATTGACGTCCTGTTAGTATATTGTGCGCCGATTATAAAATCTTCGCACAGGCACTTTCCCTTAGAATGAAACCTGCACTAACATCATACACATTGACCAGAGTTATTGTGTCCCTGGCAGACAAATATTTGATAACATCAATCTAGTGCGTGACGTCATCACGTATGCAAACATCAATAACATCACATTGGGCATCGTTTCGTTGGACCAAGAAAAGGCCTTTGACCGTGTAAACCACGGGTAGCTTCTGAAAACCCTAGAGGCTTTTGGGTTTGGTGAGTTTTTCATCAAATATATCAAACTAATCTACTGTCAGGGGGAAATTCTCTTTCTCTCGGGTTCTCCACACTTGTCAGGGGGGGGAACTCGTCTCGTCTCTATATCTCGTCCCCTTGAGGTACGGGATCGGGAAAGTCACTTATACTTTACAGTCAAATAAGACACACACAACGAAATACGTTTCAGCTCTCGTCTTAGTCGATCTGTTGGAGCACTCTATAAGACACAGCGCCCTGGGGAAAAGTCCCCAAGACTCTCACAAGGCTGACCCAAGACTAGCCCAAGACTGGACTGCCTCAAGGCTCGCCCCTGGACTCTCTCGGACTACGTCTCTCTCTTCTCTACTGCGTCTATCGTGCTGTGTTCGTCAAGACCAACTCAAACTCTCTTTATTCATTTTCAAAACTCTAACCAATTGCAAAACAGTAAAAAGACTCTAGGGCGTAACCTTCAATCATAAAGCCAATCACACTAAGTACTGAATACGTCATATCTTTTGATTAATCGTTCACTACATTAATAACTATGGATATAAACTGTCAGAATGAGTAGTCTAAAAAGCGGTGGTTATCTGGTAATTAGTTCCAAATCACTGAGCCAAGTTCCGTCCAAAACTTCAAATAGACCTAAACGATGACAGACATAACACAGCAATTCAGCTAATAATCAGCTAATTAAGTCGGTCAACAGATACGCAAAAACAAATTCATGACACTACACACAAACACAATGTCTCATTCATGTGAACAGTTCAATCACCTCACCACTTCCTTTTATGCGTGGCATACGCCAGGGTTGCTCGCTGTCTGGGCTTGAAGGTTTGAAAGTGCTTGGTGTTTTTATCGGCAATGATCCCAAATATGAGGAAAGAAACTGGTCCGATGCCGTTGAAAAATTAAATTTAAACTTGATTGGTTTTCCAAATATGCGCCTTCAATGTCTTACAGAAGGCGCACTCTTATAGTCAATCAACTGGTTGCCTCCAAAATCATACATAAGTTTGTTTGCCTATGTCCACCTAAAAACATAATCAACCAATAACAGAAACTATTTCTGGATTTCCTTTGGCAGGGGCGGCATTGGCTCCCTGTTGAAATAGTCTACCTACCTCCATTTGAAGGTTGACAGGGTCTTGTTCACCTTCCATCACGTATTACCTCGTTTCATATACAATACATCCAAAGATACCTGAACCTCAGTTCCAACCATCCTTGTTTCACCTTCACAAGTCTTTTTCTTAGTCAAGTAAACAACCTGAAATACACTAAACAGTTATTCATCACAGATGTACAGTACTCCTTTCAAAACACGCCTGAATATTATTGCAGGTTACTGAAAATTTGGTCTTCCCTAACTTCATTAAGAAAAAAATTACCAACCACGTATGATGAAGTCCGTGGCGAACCTTTGCTATACAATAAACTAATACTGCATCCCATCCATGATGAACCACTTACCCTCACACATTTTCGTGAGGCGGGAGTCACTAAAATTGATGACCTGGTCTCAATCAATACATGGCTTGACTCTGATGAACTGCAGGGCAAAATACCAATCTATTGAAAAAGGCTCCTTGACATGGCTCTAGATGTAGTCCATAAGGCAATCCCTGTAAAATTCAAAGAAATTATAAATGGTCAAAATGGTAGTGGCACACAAGTCACAGAAAATACCTACCATTTAGAGCTACTGTACAGGGATGATCACAATGACACGCTCTTAAACTGTCCGCTATAACCTCCCATAAAAGGTGCCATCTATAAATTTATAGTATGCACAAATAAAATATCAAAACACCAGGTCAACAAAAACATCTGGGCAGACATTCTATCACTACAGAATGCACATGAACCCATATATACAGACAGCTACATTACACCAATAACCAACAAAGATGGGGATCTTCAGTGGCGCCTCTTACACGGGGCCTATCCCACAGGAGGTTTCCTACTGAAATCCAAATTGCAAAACACTGACGGCTGTCCTTTCTGTAGTGCAACGGATGATCTTGTTCATATATTTATTGAGTGCATCAGATTAACCCGGCTGTTTCTCACTCTTAAAATCATTACAAAGAAGCTATGCGATCAAGACAACATACCCATAGCACATTATGTGCTCGGCCCACCAAGAAGGAAGACCATCACCCTCACACATTGCCTGCTGTGCTATTTGCTTAGCTCTGTTAAATCAGTAATTCACATCACGCGATTTAACAAGCTGAGGGATTCTACTCAATCTGATGCACTGCAGTGCTTTAAATCGCGTCTTAAACGGAGAATCAGAGACGGGTTCAACTACCACCTGTTGACTAATTGATGTATTTAGAGCCCGGTGGTGCATCAATGATGCTGTAGCAGTACTCAATGGGCAGGAGCTGACATTTCCAGACTACCTTGACAACGGTTAAGCTACCAATGCTTACTACTGAAAAGGACACGACCAAGCCCACACTGGCAAAAAAACGATTATTTACACTACTATCTTATTTATATCAGTCTTTATTTGAAATTTATGTAATAATTTAAATCAGTCATTATTATTATCAATTTTATCGTACTTAATTTAATCGTTATTATTAATCCACCAATGTATCATTCTTTCATTCGTTTTATCAATTCAAAACTCATTTCAATCGTTCCTTTCCCCTCACCTATGTGTGAGTTTTTATACTTATTAATAAAAAAGAGAAATGTCGCCTAATGTCTCAAGTACTAATCATCATACTTCAATGAGACTTGCAACATAGATTTTCAAGGACTATGCATATACCTGATTAGTTTTAGGGTAAATAATTTTGCATATTACTTGTCTAATTTGCATAATTAGTAAATTTTTTCAATGAATGTTTCACTGATATATAAAAAACGACTAATTTGATTTTAATGAAACTTTTAAAGAGAACTCATCATCACATTTCAATGAACCTAGGACTATGCAAAGACCCAATTAGTTTTGGGTAAATATTTATGCTTATTAATCACCTAATTAACAAAATTAATTAACAATGATATCTTAATTACTGATCATCTCATTTGAATAAAATTTGGTACATAAAAGCTCTAGGATAATAGACAGGCCCGATTAATTTTGGGTGAAAAAATTGTTCATATTAATTCTCTAATTAGCATAATAATTCATATTTGTTTTTTGTTCTAATCAAATTTCAAGGAAACTTGGTACATAAATATTACATTACGCAGACCTTATTCGTTTTACACTCAAATCTGTTCATATTAGTTACCTCATTTACATAATTAGTTTTCACCTTTTCCATCAATATCTCAAGTACAAGTAATTTTGAATTAATTTTTGATGTGTCTTCAATACTCTCAGCACACGGGAGTTCTTTCTAAGCTTTTTTTGATTGCACTTGCATTCCACTTTGTATTATATGCTGAACACCCCCATGAAATGTAAAATTAGTTAGTCTTGCCACAAATCCTGCAATACTAAATCAGGCATTGTTAGCTGCTGTTGACAGTCAACAAGAGCTTATGTTCTAGTCTTGTCTGTCTTTCTGTGCAGCAGATTTTGAACTAGTGCTTAGATTAAAATGAAACATGCAAGAATTGTAAGTGTTGTTGTTAATATGAATATAATTCATTAGCTTAATTAGTATCTGAATTAAATTCTTGTTGGCACTTTTCAATTCAGATTGTTGCCTTGATGCAAGTTTTAATCTGAAATATCAGGTCCAGTGCCAGCTCTTAATTCAGCTTACTTTTTCTCAGAACTTTTCATTTTTAATGAGTTATCAAATATGCTTACATTGTATCACACAAGTTTATTACATATTTTTTGTTTTGCCCATGGTAAAATAAAGCGAACAAAATTATGAGTGACAAATTGTCACACTTTTGAGAAATACTTTCTTTAACTATGCTTTTTTGATAAAATTACTCTTTAATCTAAGGTCATTTAGTCAAATACAAATTGGGACCGATGATGTAATCGATAATGTTTGTAGTACGAATAATGTCTTTCGTGTGCTATCAGTGTCATAAGGTTAAGTACATACAGTACGGTTGAAGTATAAGGAGTACTGTCTTCTGCAGAATATTGCCAAGATTTGAAATTATATTTTTTTCTATTTTTTTCTAGCTATATGAAAAATTTGGTTTAAAGGCAGAAGATGTACCTGAATCTTTTGGCCGCCAGAAAGACTGGAATGTTGATCTAATCCCTAAATTTTTCATGGCTAATGGTAAGTTGTCATTCAAAGTAAAGTGTAGCAACTACAGAATTTTATTCAATGTGACTGACCCAATTATGATTTTGTGGGTACAAATTCTTACATTTTTTATTGCTGAGGTAGGTCATTGTGTTTCTGACATGTAGGGAGGTGGGGTATGTTAGTTATGTGACCAAATGTATTCACAATTGCACTGGAAAATCGCAAATGCATAACAGTTGACTTGTTTGTTTCTGTCATGTTAACATTTTTTACACACGACTCTATCAACGAAGAGTTATAAATTTTGAGTTGCCTGGTTATGACAAGTGAATGTTGCGTAAAAGATGTGTACTGCAGTTTGAAGTTTAGTAGATTTTTTTGAATACCACCACTGTATAAGTCATGTTATAATACAACATGTGTGGATACCGAGATGACAACTGATACTTTTGCTCTATTTTGGAGCACATGCTCTTACATAAGTTACAGTGGTGTTTCTATTGAAATTAGTATTGATTAATAATTCAGTATAGAACAAATGTGATTTTTGTTTATATGTTCATATGGGCTGATGTTTGAGACGCACTCTTGGTAGATCAAATGCAGTACTTATCAAAAATCATGTATTGTGTCTTTCAGGCAAGCTAGTCAAATTACTAATACACAGTGGTGTTACTAAGTTTTTCGAATTCAAATCTGTAGATGGTAGTTATGTTTACAAAAAAGGTTATAACATTCATAAGGTTCCAGCTGATGGACAAGAAGCTTTGGCTACAAGTAAGTACAAATGTATTCTGTATTTTTGATTGTATCAGCTTGTATTGTTGAAGTAATATAAACAAGATTTGCAAGGTAGCATTCAATCTGTTCATGTAGTCCGCAAATTTCATCTATCTGTATTCGTGTGTGTGCGCATGTTGGTCTGTCTGAACTGTATCTTCAACATGCCAGGTTCAGACTTTACACACACATCATATCACACATAAACACGTTCATGATCCAATTCTAGATGGCCAAATAGTGGCCATTATAGTGGTAAAATTTATTAAAATCAAGCGATTCTGTCATTCTAGAACTAGATTCTTAGTCGTGTTTTGAGAGACAGTTGAAACAGTCTATGGCCACCCGAAGGAACTTCAGATTTTTGTCCTTTATAGACTAATTAATTAATGAATATTAATTAGACCATAGTCGCTAATATCTATTATTAAACAATGAATCGGTGTAATTTCAATCTCATTTTGCTTACATGAACTATGGTGCATACATTGTCAAAAACAAAATATTTTTATGTTAGTATATATGAAGGAGATTTGTATAAATATAATCCACAATTGCATCAGTTATGTGAACAATTTAGCATTTGTTTAGTGGCCGTTAATTATTACTGGGGCATTCTGGAAAAAAATCAGATTTCCTTCTAGGTTTTTTAACAATTATTACATTTTCTTTTTGCAAATTTCTCCAACATAACATTTATCCAGTGGTACATCCAAACTGACCCATTCAATGTGAAAATAAATGTTGAAAGCTGGTCGGTCCTGCATTATGCAATAGTCAAACAATTAAAAATCATTACTGACTAACTGAAGTCAATTGAACAGCTTTGCTGCAGCCTTCAATTATTACATATATCGGGACTGTAATGACCAGAAAATTCACAATTCTACTTTAAAAAGAAAAATGAACTAAAAGCGAAAGACTCTATGACACAGCTTTTCCAGTAACTTCATAGCACCAAATCGCACGTGCAAGACTCTATTTACATAATGATTACTCAATTTTCGACTTTTACACTGATATCTTAAGTATTAATCGTCGCATTTCAATGAAACTTGGTACATTGATGTCATAGGACAATGCACTGACCTGAGTTTGGGTTAAAATGTGTGCATATTAATTATCAAATTTGCATAATTTGTTTAGCCAATTTTTGGCTTTTACATATCTCAAGTACTCATTAAGCAATTTCAATGAAGCTTGGTAGATATATGCTCTTGACAATACACATAACTGATTAGTTTTCTGTTGAAATATGTGCATATTAATTATCTTATTTGCATAACAATTAGTTTTCAGCTTTTCCATCAATATCTCAAGTACTTATCTTATTTCAATGAACCCTGATACATAAATACTCCAAGACATTGCAACAATCTAATGTAATCTAATGTTTTGGGTTTATTTACATCCGTAATAATTACCAAATGTGCATAATAATTTCCACCAAGTTTTTCAGTATTCAACATCACATTATAATGAAACTTGTGGCCCTGGAACAATACAAGACCTAAATATATGCATAATAATTACTTAATTTGCATAATAATTCATTTGGTTCCTTGGGGTAATCCACAGACATGGTTAGTTTAATGTTGAAAAACATGTGTATTGATTATCGAATTATTATTAGCCCATTTCTAATATCTCAAAGAATTACATTTAAATTGAATTTGTGGTAGAGTTGTTGGAAATAATTAGACTGAAACCACATATGTTATTTATAATAGATAATTTGTAATTTTGATAATGTGGAGTACATTGTTTTCATTCACGTTGTACATCTCAAATAGCAGACAAATATTAGTTGCCAAGCTCTTTATTTTGAAAGGCTAATCTTCAATTTTGAATTAATTTTAATGTGTCTCCATGTGTCTTTTTTTTCTAAGCTGTCTTTTATTTGTGACTATGAACAAGCAGCCAACACAAATTATTTTGCCTTCAATTCGGACTTTGCCATTATAAATGCATATTTGCTTTACTGAGTAGCTGAAAGCTCACTGAATAACACATGTACACATGTTCTACTATTATTCCTTCTAGGTTTAATGGGATTCTTTGAAAAGCGCCGATACCGTAATTTTTTGAATGATGTTGCTGCTTTTGAAATTGGTAATCCCAAAACTTATAATGGTATTGACCCAAATACAACCACAATGCAAGATTTGTACCGCAAATATGGCTTGGATGATAATACTGCAGATTTCACTGGTCATGCACTGGCACTGCATAGAGATGACAGGTAAGCAGCATTATACCAGTTAAAGTTGCAATTATTTCAAAATATAGTTTGTCTCTAGTTAGTGATCCGGAAATCTGCCAACAGCTAATCCAAAATAGATAAATAAATAATCTTGGAATATTGTTTTTAGCTACAAACAAGAAAATGTTTTAGACACAATAGAGCGAATTCAACTGTACGATTCATCTCAGAAACATTATGGCAAATCTCCATATTTGTACCCACTGTATGGACTGGGAAAACTTCCAGAAGGCTTTGCAAGGTTAGTATGTGAAGATCATTTGTCATCGCATAAGTAAACAATTGTATTTTACCCACACATGTTGATAGAAATGTATATTTATTTACAGGCTATCAGCTATATATGGATGGCACCCATATGCTTGACAAACGAATTGACGCTATTGAATATGATGACAATGGTGAGGTTTGTGGTGTCACATCTGAAGGTGAAACTTTCAAGTGTAAAACTGTTGTGTGTGATCCCACATATGGAAGAGATAAGGTCAAGAAAGTAGCTCAAGTAGTACGTGCTATTTGCATCATGACTCATCCTATACCACGTACAAATGATAACGCCTCATGTCAAATCATCATTCCACAAAATCAAGTGAGTAGGAAATCAGGTAAGCATATTATTTTCTGGGTTTTGCCTAGTCTGACTTGATGACTGGCTATTAATTATTCACGAGTTAATTAATATACATGTTTGTTATGCAGCTGCTTTGACAATTTATATATATGTACCCTGTGTGGACCACTATGAGATTGAAATATTCATGAGAATGTCTTCACTTCTGTAATTTTAGCAAATATGTTTTTAATGTTAAGCTCAACAGGGTAACCCTACCCGTCTCATTATCATGCTGTTTTAAAGAGCTATTTCAGCCATCAGGGATCCTTGTTCAAATGATTCGTTTAATGCTAGTCAATTCTTTTCTACACTCTCTAAGTACACACAAACTGTTTCTAAGCTGTATTTGATTCTTGAATTTAGTTATAACCCTCGTTGAATCTGTGAAAATAAGAATAATTAATATGATTGAAATATTATTATATAAAAAGTTACCAGTGAACTGAAAATCGATACATATTTTAATATGTAACCATGAATGCGAAACAAGGTTACTGATATCCAGCATTGTTATCCATTGTAGATATCTATGTGAGTTGTGTATCTAGCACTCATTGCATAGCAACTTATGGTTTTTATGTCGCAACGGTATCCACCACTGTTGAGACTGACAACCCAGAAGCTGAATTACAACCAGGTCTTGATTTACTTGGCCCAATAGAACAGAAGTTTGTGTATGTAGCTGACATATATGTACCTATTGATGATGGTAAAAAGTCTAAGGTATGGCATTACATAATTACAGAAATTGAAGTCCTTTTATCTCCACCGTTTTCATCATCTTGTGTGACTTGTATCAGATTTACATTATTTGCTGCATTGATTATGTATTAAGCCATACTTACCTTACATCCAATTGATAGTAAGATATTGATTGCAAACTATTTGACATTGCTTGATCGTGCCTTTAATTTAGAAATACAATACACCATATTGCTAGAAACTGGTAGACAGAAGTTTTTAATTGTGCTTCCAATAGTGTTCCAAGGCAGGCCTCCTAGGTTTAGTTATAAAAAATGTTCACAATCCTAATAGCCAGTTGCTTAAAAGTATGTTTGACAGGAGAAATACAATTCTAAGGGAGCTTCTATACTACCTGTGGTGGTCAGATATTTCATTTTTTGTTAACTGAAGTTTGATTTTTGTGATTCTTTTTTAGTTACACGCATAATGACCTAATGTGGCCATACAGAGTGATTTTCCCTGGACTCTCTTGGACAGGCAGCTAGCTAGTACTAAATAAAATGAGCATGCAAATAGAATGCACTGGCAACATATATTCTGATGGAAAGTGCATGTATGCATAACTAGCTACTTTGATACAAAGTGAGGTGCTCACTTGCATATGTCATTACCACACATAGATTAATTTACATAAACCGCTTCTGCTACGCTTATAGTTTTTCGGAGGAGGAACTATTTAATACAAGAACTATTTTAAGGGAATATGGCCCACACATTTTCTGTAAACCATTGGCGGGATTAACAGAGCAAATACGAAAGTACACAGCATATACACTGTCAATACATGGGAGCACCATACTACTAATAAATTCTTTTATGTATATTATAGAGGAGTCTTAACTTTTGTTTGTTGTTCCAAACAGGTATTTGTGACCACATCTTACGATGCTACAACTCACTTTGAAACCACGTGTAATGATATCCTGGATGTATGGACACGAATGACTGGTGAAGTATTTGAGTTTAACAAGATTCAGACTTCAGAGGAAAATTAGTACAACGTCTCAAATCTGAAAGTCAAATCTCCTTTTCGCTAAGTTTATGTCTCTCATTCTTATCCAATAAAAATATTGCTTGCAGAACATTGTTAAAATCACCCACCCAAAAAAACATCAATTAAGAATGCCAGTTATGTACTAAATATGTGTTATGTACCGGTACTGCTAGTTGCTCAACCAAATTGTAGTATACTGCTGAATGAGCAATGTTGATTCGAGCTGTACATTTCGTGATTTACTTTGAGTAGGTTTTACTATTTGCTTCCCTGTAGATTTATTGATGTATTATTATGTATGTTCTTGTAAACCATTGTGATGAGGACTTTTCAGATGGACCTTGGTTCGTTTGATGTCATATATCATGTATGACAATCGGCTTTATCGGTGTCCATATATAGAGAGAACGGGAAAAACAAAATATGCAGATCAATATTTTCAGTTTAAGAATTGTTGAAAGAGACTTGCATGTGCAGTTGTAAAATACTTATTTATCCTTTGTTAGCATTTGACAGTGTCAATCACATGTGAATCAATTAAGTAATCTAAATATGGTATGAATATATGTGGAAAATATTTGAAATCATGGTCCAATAATTCCCCCTGTTGTGTTATTTTTTCTGTGGCTTATCAAATTTGAGGATTCATGTAGCAGGTACTTGCCACAGTGACACACTAGTATGCACGACATCAGTATGGGAATAGAACCACGGTATTCTGTTTATGATAGTTAGGTAATTGTGTTGGTTGTATTAGGGGTAGGAGGCGCGTTGGTTCATAACTTATTTACCGCATGAAGAGTATTTGACAACAAAAAGAGCCATAAGTAGTGTACTTTCTGTAGGTGTTCCCCCAAAGAAGCAACTTTTGCGTGTAATTTAATGTCGGGCGACATGGAAAATAGACAAATAGGTGAAGTCTAAATTAGCTTTACCATACACAGTACTGAATGAAATATTTTCCTCATTTTGTCTGATGCATTGAAGTTGACAGTACGGGGATCAATGTTAGAGGACTATGTTCGTTGCATTACTTTCATATTGAATAGTTGTAGCTAGTTGGATTGTCATGCTCAATAATTTCATGAAGCTATTACTGTATCATCATGTTTACCATATAAACCTTGATCTTGTTAATTCCATAGCTTATAAGTTTGAATTATCTTCAAAGCAAAGTGTACTTGCATTACTTGTGTATGCTGGACTTGTACTGTATTAAAGGAAGTATACAAAATGCGTTTCCTTTTGTCTTTCACTTATTGCCATTCACTTATTTCTGTTACAGACTGCAATTGTATTGAATCAGCATGTTCCAATGGTAATGTTGATTCTATCATTTGGAATTTGTGGTAGTTTTCTTTTTGCTTTTCATAAGTAATATTTTATAGTTTCACGAGCTATTCTGCAAAATTAGTGTTTTAACTCGTTATCATTTGTTTTTTCATGGATATCAAAAGACTAAGGGTTCCAAGCATTGTGATGGTGGTCACGAGAAAAGTCATATGAATATCAACTAATTTTGTGTCAGCCCAACATAACCTTATTTTCATAAGTGATGTGGTGTGTATCATGTGCCTGCTCAAACGTACAAGCCGAACATAATTCGGAGAATAGTATTCAAATTCAAGCAATGATCAATGGGCCAGTGCAAGCAAGTCGGATGAGCAAGAATGTTCGATATGAAGGCATGTGTGGGTATCGGATCAAATGCTATCAATGTTCGAACAATCCCAGTTTTTAACGAAGACCAGGGCAAGCCTCTGTATTTCTGGCATATACCTCCACACTACACCAAACCTAAGCGATGTTCAAAAGGCTGTCATGTATAAGATCAAAACAAGGCTCGGTAGTTTATACAATTAACACTGCGTATCACCCATCATTGTTTGAACCATCAACAGATGACTCACTTACTAGCATAGATCTTCCTCTATGCTTCTGAATAGAGGTAATGTGAATAAATATCCCACTGAAGTTGTTGTATTTGTCTGTACAGCAGGTCATCCATCAGCCACTTAGTCATTGATGACTTCCCTGTATGATCAATTCGCTGTCAACGCTAGTGCAGATGCAGTCATATTCGGCTAGCATCAATTCTGGCAATCCAACACGCCTGGGAACCTAGACACCCCCGACATCACAGACTGGATTTGGTTCCACGTAATTCTCAAATCGCACCAGAAAGACACTGCTTACACTAATGCATGGACCAGTGGAGAAGTGTACTTTATCAGTGATAAACATACATCAGAATAGTAATGTCGCACGAACATTTTCATAAGTTACTTGGGCTAACTTTGTACAGAGTTTAATAGCTGATCTTTGCTTATAAGAAACACGTCTAAACACCTTCCAGGATAACACTGTACAAACTGCATATTATTAGTACCATTAATATCGCATCATAAATCAAGTTTCAGAAAGTGACACAAAACAATCAGACCAATCTCTTTTTTACCTAGGTAGGTCAAAAGTGTGTATGATGGAATACACAAACATGTTATACAATTAATTATCTACACATTTATTACCAGCAACAGTTGAAGTTTGTACGTGATCCTATACGATCACACCATCGCGGCGCTACTGTTTACCCGATGGCATTTCATTCAATGAGTTGACCGTCTGCAATGTTGTAAATGCATTAAGCCAATTAACAGCGCACAAATAGTTCTTCGACGAGGCTTCTCGTAATATGAGCGCTACACCGTATAATAACTATGGTTCAAACGAAAGCACTAGTCATGTAAGGCACAGAGGACGCTGTTTACAATATCACGTTTAACGGATATTAACAGCAGCAATCAGCAACAGAATGTCTTTAAGTACCGGGTAATTATTTTGCATAGTTGGAAACAAATAAGTCGCTGCAGCCGGAATAAACGCATGCTGACAAACGATCGTTTAAACATTGTCGTCTCACGAATATTAACGCATGTCTCTTCACATCGCATCAACTGCTACAAATTGTCAGTGACATTTGCGAATTTACATTCAAATTATGTTACGCAGTGGTTTCCACAGAAGACATCGCACAGCGAATACGATTCAATCTCGACGTGAGCATTCCATAGCCGCCTGACTGTCCAGTCACCGAATTCAGGAAATATATTCCTTTCGCGGACACGAATACGACTCTACCCAGGAGCAAACAGGTACGATTCCGGCAAAACAAAGTTTTTTTTACTCACTGTGACGGTCTAGCTCCATCTTCCGGTGTGAATTGGCATAGCAGATTTAACGTCAATGAAACTATTTGGGAATGGAATCCAAGGGGTTACATTAACATAATGGTAAGAATTGGAGACTACCTAATAAATAAGTATTCTCGGTTTCAGAGGACTGACTGGCTCATAAACCTAGCCCAATGACAAATTAATTCTATATTGGAATACAATTGAGTGCATACAATCTACAACGGAAGAAAGTAACATTTTGAGCAACCTTTTGAAATCTACGATTCGTGTCATCGACTTTAACCAAATATTATCATACTCGCAGACCCAAATTCAGACGTAACATAATTTATGAATAGAACAGGAGATATTATATAGGTAACCTCCAGTTAGCGTTTTCTTTTAGACTAATTACCACCACGTTAATGGCCTTTAACGTTTTCTATATAATTTTATCAGAGTTGGCATTTGATTCAAATTCGATGTGAATGTTGTGAGGTTGAAGTCAAAAAATGAATGAAAATGAATTATACATGTGACAGATATAGATGTTTTTGAATTACAACCATTCCAGAACACTAAATACACTAACAAAATGATCATTATATAAAGCCAGTTAGTTCACACAAGCAGAATGAGTTTCATTCAATTAAACAACTGTTGTTGGCGCATGAGTTGTTAGCATACTTTGCGTGATATTATGTTGTAATTGTTCTAATTTAGAATGTAAAGTTGGAATATCGTTGATTTTAATATGTTTCATTAAAGTTATGCATACTGAAAATTGAATTCTTAATTCCATGGCATATTTTCAAATATTGTATATTTAACAAAATTTCCGAAAAAATAAAGTTTGTAGAATAGTAATAACAAATATTAAAATAGTAAAACAATGTCACGATAACAAGTTAAATTGTTGAAAAACAAAATGTATGAAAACGAAGGCTATTATATACATTGATTTGTATTGAGTCAATACCATCACGTTAATATTTAAAAAAAAGGAAAGTAAAATGAGTTTGTTCTTTTCTATAACTCTGTTCTCGTTAAATCCACTATATTGTCTTTTGTGGCGACAACATTCAGCCAATCGTTTATAATGCTTATTGGCCAATGGTGATTGTAAATTTTGGACATAAGATCACACAAAGTATGCTAACAACTCATGCGCCAGCAACAGTTGTTTAATTGCCTATATATAATGATAATATTGTTAAAATATGCACATAATTGTCATGATCATAAAATGACTAAATACTAAACAAAATGTATTTAGTGTTCTGGAATGTTTGTAATTCAAAAACATCTATATGTGTCACATCTATAACTTATTCTCATTTATTTTTGGACTAATATTATTATATTCGGTTATACTTACTCTAAAATTTATGTATCATTTTCATTTGTATTTGGCATATACATGTCAGTTTATTTCATAATCAGATCAAAGATGGCCGAATAACGGCTGTTTTTATTTTTGACCATATTACTATATCTCTGTCACTCATGTATTATTTTCATTGATATTTAGCATTTCATAAATGGATACATGTACATGTCAATTCAATTTGCAATTTGTCAATACGGCCAACTGGCTGCCATCTTGTTTGTTGAAAATGTGATAACTTGGACATGCTTTCCCTTGTGATCTATGTTTTTCATTCCTATGTCTTAAACTATAGGGGTCGTCACGCAACATGTGTTCGAATTTGACGTAAATAAACAATCTTCATATACGCCACTTTAGACTAAAGTTTCAAAGACACGCTCGCGACAACCCCTTCGTTTTAATATGACGAGCGCAAAGAGAACTTTCGAAAATTTAACGGGGACAGTGTCATTTTCAATGACTTGTTGGAGCCTGTTTTATGTAATTAAACATTTTTCAGCGATTCTCCACAAATGTGATTGCCAATTCTTGTGAC